GATTTCGCGCGTGCTTATGATACATATTTCATTAATTTATTATCTTTATTATCGAATATGTCGTAAATTCTATTACAAGATATCAGTAATACGATAGGACAGCGTAAAGAATCGGAATTCTCGTCTGAGAACGTCTCTGTGATATCAACGTTCCCTTATATAGTTCTCAGATAGCGATACGACCTTACGCGGCCTGTAAATAGACTAGTAGAATTACACACCGATACTATCTCGCCGGCCCGCCCTAAAATGTTATTAAGCCGTATTACACATCTAGTATTGCGCGGCTATTAACGGCCGACAACGTTATTCAGCTCGAGTGCGCGAGCCTACTCGAATTTCGACAAACATTGCCAGACTTTGGGATTGTAATTTGAAAACGGTGCGTACCGGGAAACACGAGCTGACGTCTCTATTTGTCACTATCAATCAAAACAATTAAGCGCGGTCAAATACAGGATAACGCACGGAACGCATTCGCATCAGCTGCTCGGTGAATCATATTTTCTAATGCTAAACCGCGAGCCGAAAAGTCTCTCACGGGCAGCACGTGCGCGCGAATATACCGGTTCTAGAAGCGATCATGCAAATCGCGATTCGATTGTGTTCAACCCGCTAGGTTTTCGCCGCGCGGAGAATTAATAGAGATTTTCATTGGTGGCACGGGCATATTTTCTCCCGTGCATGGGGATGCGTGCAAGCCGCCACGGCCCGCTTCGAGGTACAATAAATCAACATTTCACCGTTGTCCCGCGAAATTAAGGAAACCCTTGATCTACGGGCCATCCACGCTCGATTCCTGATCTACGGCGTGGCCCGGACTTTTGTATGTCCACCCCCGCATTGTCCCGCTTCAATGGATCTCGCTGCCGTGTCCCGGCCCCCACGCTCGTATTCGTTTCTTTCCTATTTTCTCTCCATCTTTTACCTCCGTAACTGTCGAGGGAATACATTCACGTCCTCGAACCGCGTGAAATCGTCACGCGGAAGATGTAACACATTGGAACAACATCGTGAATAAATTCGAATCGAATATCGTGACGAATTACATTTCTTAGAAAAAGAATTTCTTATCTTTTCTTCGTTTTAAGAGCTGTGAATTTGTAATTATATTCAATTACATCTTTTATATTTTTTCCAAGGCAAAGTTTTTGAAATTGTAATGTTTATGTAATATTGTATTGTTTGCATTATGAAATTAGAAAGAAAAGGATTTAATCATAGAATATATTGAAATTTATTAGCTCTCGAGAGAGATAAAGAAGAATTCAGAGATAATTTGATTTTAATTTTATTATATTAAAATAAAATGAACAAATTTGTATGATTTATTGCATTAATAAATGTTTAATACACAGAAATGTCTGCACTTTTATCAAATTCGAGATAATATGATAATTCAAGAGCTTTCTAAAGCTCTAGAATATTCAAGTTAAATATATGTCTTAAATATATATCTCATGCGGTACGTCGCTAAAATCACTTATCCTTGAATGTCAAATAATTGCGAAAGACGATTCCATGCATATAAAGTATTCACGAAAAATTTTTTCCAGCTTACGGTATTAAACAAGAAATTTATTTCATGAAGAAAATCGAGCGACACTCTGCATGCAAAATTAAGCGGCCTTCCCTTATTATTAGCACAACGTATTTTCCCGCGTACGACTTGCATACACACGTTATAAACATGCAATGTGCATACGTTCACGCAGGCGCTGCTCGTATCACGCTTTAGTAGCCTTATTTCATAGTACATCAGCATTTCAACGTGGCAATATGTAACGATCATGACGATATGTCTGCGATAATAATGATGTTTATATACCTTGTCGCAATTATCGCTGTCGCGAACATTGATGATGATGAAAATAATGCTCAATTCTACACTCCAATGAAACCATCATTCTGTCAGCCGGTAGGTATGTGAAATAGAAAGGAAGAGAGAGGTAGAGAGAGGGTTGCAATAATAAATGGCGCTCCATTAGTCCCACTTTATTGAAAACCACGGGCCACGTTTAACCACCAGGCGGTGGGCAAGCCGTGACGCGTGACGTCATCATCGGAAATCCTTTAATGCTGGCATCTTTTTTACGCTACGCCCTTTCCGCATTTACGCGGGTCATGCTTGACAAATTCAAAAAATTTCGTTTCTTCCTTCCGAAATCGAATCTTGCCAATTATTTATTACCGGATGATTTCAAATTCGATGGATTTCGTAAAATTTCGTTGGAAGCAAATCGGTCCTAAAACCACTTTCCTGCAAGATCTTTTTCGATGAAATTATTGGTATTTGGTTTTTCATGATTTAGAGGGAAAGGTTTCAGTCTTTTTTTAGCCCCTTTGAGTCGTATGAATGCGATGCTCGCTGAAAAATTCAGCAGAGGCAAGAAAAATGCGCGGATAATTTAATCAACTGAAAAACCTGCGGATGAAAAGAATTGTGTCATGACATTTCACGGAATCAAGCCTTAATAATATTCATCAATGATAAAGACACCTTATTCATGATGCGATGGAACGCTCGAGTATCAAAACATTTGTTACAATTAATATTAAAATTGTTTACATAAAGATTTTAATTGAAAATTTATAAATGAATTGTAAAATTTGTAAATTTACTATTCTAAATTACTTTGGAATGAAAAGCAAGCGTAGCATATGTATTTTTCATACGCGTATCAGATTGAAAATAAACATTGCCGACTTTTTTTAATACAAAATTCGAATTTTAATACATTTCAAGGGAATTCGAAGGGAATTTGGCTAATATACGGTATCTCGAGACGGAATCTCGGAAACGAGTGCGGTGGGTAAAGCAAGCTTCTGTCAATTTCTTGTTGATATCCTAACAGTTGCGAGATCTTGGCACGACGCGATGATGTTTGGCTGCGTCATTCGGGGAGGGAAGATGATGAGGATCGGACTAATTCACGAGAATAGGCCACTATGTGTGCCCACCGGAACCTCCGACCGGCAAGGAGAGGCTATCAAACCGATCGTAATCAGACCGCCCTCCGTCACCGGCAGTCCACACCTATCTCACCATCCTATACTTTCCAGCGGCGGGCATATACTCCATTCGCAGTAACTGATGCCTCTGGTAGAGACCGTCCGGCAGTAACTCGATTTTCGACTACACTCGTCTTGATCTATTTCTGCGAATCAGCGTGGATGAAATCGTATCGGGAGAGTCGGGGAGAGGATGTGGATAGGAGAAAAGTGGAACGTGAGGGCAGAGAAGAGGAGCATATTTTATCGAGCCGATGCGAAGCTGTACCGCAACGCTACGACTTGCACCCGACTGCACGACCGTATGCGAATCGATAATTTATCCCCCCAAAAGCTTACTTTGCACACCGTCTCGCTGCACTCATCCGCTGGCTGGCTCTGTCTGAATCCCGCGGAATTGCACGTTGATGGATTTTTGCACGAAAGAGAAAACACGGCATCTGTAATTAAGGGAAATCGCGGCGTTCGATGTAGTAAGCTGATCAACAAATTGGCGCAGCCGCGGTAATAAATGGAGCACGTTTCAAAACTCGCGGCAGAGTGGCGAAATTACTGATAAAGTAAACGAAGCGGATCTCTAAAAAAAAAATGAGATGCGTATTCAGCGAAACGTCAAACAGCGCTGCGAATTAACATTCTAGCAAATCGGCTGCGATTCGACTACGACTAGTTTCGACTACTAGTTTCCCTTCTTGTTAGCTAGCGCAAATGTTATTTATCGCCCCTTGAAGGTAACGTAATATCACGTTAAAGATATCCGTAAGCGATCGCATTTTTCGATCTCGGTCACCGAGGAATGCGAGTGCGTTTAGTACGAACGCATCCCTGTATTAGAGCACTTATAATCCAATCTCGTGGAACAACATTAGCGTACATCATGTCGTACGATGTACCGGCTTGAAAATTCGATGCGGCATTTCTAAAATGATAAATGTTTGCACAACGTTATTTAACATAACATTATTCTGTAATCAAGCGTCATCACGAATTCTCATTTTCCTTCACCAATGAATAACAGTATTGTTACAAGCTATTACACAGTTTTGCAAATAAATGTCGCATCATTTACAATTAATTGTTATTTCCAGAGGCTTGCGTATTCTGATATGTGAATTTCTGGAAATAACGGATTGCAAACGGTCGATCATTTGAAATGGCTGTGATTAATAATTACTTATCGATAATTATCTCTATTTCACGTATTCCACGATTTGCACCGTTTGTTTAAAAACAGCTGCGACTGATAATTATTTATTGCTAACATATCTGCGTATTTGTGTTGAAAATGATTAATTTACAACTGTGTCCTAACCGATTTCTATTCCCCGTCGAGTTATTTTGACGTGTCCATGTTTGTAGAGCATGTCTTGTGTATTATAAAGGATCTTCGATTAATAGACTAATACTCTCGCGCTAGAGTTTTATTTTCTTTCTATTGTACCGCGGATATTTTAGATCGAGTCATGACGTTGCTAGCGATGAAAAGTGCCCATTAAAAATTTACCGAACAGATATTTTCAGAACAGTTAGATGTGTTATCTGTTTTTGCTGCGCTGCGATCACAAACATGAATTTCGTGCGGTGATATTGAATAAATCAGTTTCACTGCTGTGATATTCCATATCTTCTTTCATTTTTTGACGTAGAGATAAACGTAATAATTTTTAAATGAGTTTCACAGAGAGAAACATTAATTGGTTCTTTTATCAATTTACTGAATTTTCATCTACATTTTTGGTCAGATCATTGACGGCGGGGCTTAATCACAGAAATATATGTTTGCAGCGGGAATAATGAAATAAAAATATTTCACCTTGCGTTACATCCGTTCAGGCTTATGGCTAATATTCGTTGCTGAAATTATAATAATGTTTTAACACGATCATTATTAACTTACACGAGAATTCTCATAACGGCAAGAGTTTATCACATTGTTCGCTTTTCTTTTGCAGAATGTATCTAATCATCTTGTGCCGTTTTTGTTTCAGAACACTATCACATATTCGTTGGGGACCTGAGCCCGGAGATCGAGACACATACCTTGAGGGAAGCGTTCTCAGCCTTCGGAGAGATCTCGTAAGTCCTTTTAATCTTGCTCATTAAAGACGACTTACCGTTCTACTAGAGTTATACGGGCGATAATATAACAACATAATGTCACCAACGGTCTCCCGAAGATGCAAAATAATGTAATCTTTGATCTACGGAGATCTTCAACGCACACTATTCCCGCTTTTCGCGCTTAAACCCAAATAACGAGTGCATAAACAATTTTTCATGATATATTAGTCAAAGATGTAAAGTTTCCATGCGCAGAATATTAAGTCATTGAAGCGCGTCTCGCGTGTATAAATATAACACTTTTTATCCTATCTAACATATTTGCCGTAAAAGTGTACAACGTGCCACAATATTTATGCAAAGGACCCGCGTACTCTCGCAAACATCGCTCACAATCTTAATGCTTCCGGAAATGCAATTTATAAAAACGCGGCTTTAAACCACGCGGCTTCGCTGAAGAAAAGCCACCGCGCTGGAAAATGTCAGTGCCGACGATAAATAGACATAATCAAATCCCTGGAAGTTGCAATAGGAGGAAATCCGGAATATTTCGTTTTATCAACCGACTTCGAGTTTATTACACTTTTAACGACCTCGCCCTCTCGTCTTAACTGAGCTGTTTTACGAGTTTCCATCATCGTCCGACGTTTCACGATGCACCGACGCGAACAATAATAACGCATATCTCTGCGATCGCGCGGCAGCTACCACAAGTCCTGCGACCTTGCGCTCCGTTAAACTCGCCGGTCGATAGATGCATGACGATAATATCGCAAGCACCGATACCCTTCGAAGTCGGGCGTCGCTGCAAGCTGGAGGTGAAGTCGCGTCAATCTCCGCAGTCTTGATCGATTGTATCGGTAAGCCAGTAACACTAAGCCGTGTGCATTTATGCGGCATGAGCCAGCGGCGAGGCTGATTTTATGCATCTCGACAGACACTATTTAGAGAACACGATTAATCCTCCGTGAGTTCAGCCATTGATTAATAACGGACGAAGAACCTAAGTTCCCTTATCCGCAATGTTTCCTCTTCATTATTAAATACTATTAAAGCAAATTTCAAACTGTGTGAATTGAACACGAAGCTTTTAAAATGTAGAATGTACTAAATTTTCTCTTATCTTTGACTTGTATATTTAAAGCTTCGAGTTATTAATTTAACTCCGTTCGGCAAATACAAAATTAAAGTTGAAAATATTTGCATACGTTGTAATTTTAATGCGATTACTGTCGCAAATTATCGGATAATGAGAATTACTTTTACTTCTGAAAGGAAATTACTGTGTACATACGCCAAGGATTTTGTGGCGGTCTAAGAATAGGTATAATCAGTGGCAGAACTTCGATTTCGCAAGGAAATTACGTGAGTAAAACAAAAGGAACGTATTGAGCTTACATTTTGCGAGCATGCGAAGTGTCAGTAAGCCCGCGCTCTACATCGATTGTATCTGCAAGCCAGTACGCTACGCCCTGTGATTTTACGTGACGAAAGTCAGGGACAGTATCGCGATTTCGCGGCGCGATATACCGCAAAAGAAGTGGACGAAATAAATGCAGTCGCAACTATGTGCCGCTACCGCTACGCCGGCACGTTTATTTCACACTAATATTTCCCCGGGCGGGTATTTACGTTAACAACAATTTATCATCCCGCGCTTTATCATCTCTCTATATCTCTCGCGGATTAAGAATCTCAATCCGTAAAAATCGTAGAGGTAGAATCGCTCTTACCGAAGCATAGATCTTCGTATCCGTTTCTCTCGCGGCAAGAAATCTCCATTCGGATTTCGCATCCTGATTTATTCTTGGCTCATGCAGATGCAGCACCTCTGCGTTCACGAAACTTCGTGAGCATTTGCCTGATGGGAGAAAAAAAAGGGGGGGGAAATCGCCGGGCGAGGTATCGAAATTTCAGATTCCAATCTAAACTCGGCCTTCGAGCGACAACCGTGTTCGGCAGGCGAAACAGCTGGAGGTAGGTACAGTTTGCGCCGCTTGGCACAAGAAGACGGCAGAAAAATGGGCCTCTCTTCCCCCCCCCTCCGCCCCTCTGGAAAAATCGATTCAAACTCGCTCCACGAGTACCTAAACCGCGCTTTAAAAAGCTAGTGAAAAATTGCTAGCGGTTTTCCTCTTTTATTTTGTTTTTCCCCAGCCTCTTCTTCTTTCTCCTCTCTTTCACCACACCAATGCTCCTCACGCCTCTTCTATGCTCCGTCCAATGCTCTTTTCCCGACTCCAGGTACGGTCTTCCTCGCCTCGGCTGGTTTATCTTGGAAAGGCTTGCCATGCTCCTTACACGGTAAACATTCGTGATTAATTATATCCTACAGTGCAATCGATCAAGACTGATATTGTACTACGAGGAATTATCGTACAATACTTGAAATACATGTCGAATGAAACTTGTCCAAATCTGCTCTTTACGCAAACCTGCTATTTGATTTTCTGCAATAACAAATGCAGCTTAGAAAGAGACGAGTTATCGCAAATTTATATCGATATTCCGTGCTAAGCAATTTCACGATTCTTATACATGCCGGTCAGCGTATTTCCCTCAAATATGAATAACGCCATGCTGGCGAATAGCGCTTGCCAAGCGTGAAACGCGGTTTAGCGCTTCTGCATTTCGGGCAAGCCTTTATGAATATTGCACCATAAATTTTCGTTTCATATATACATATGATGTACGTGTTTTATACATGCGTGTGACCTATAATCACAAAATGTCATCACAAGATATTACTATTTTCTTTACGTTTTTACACTTTAAGCTAGTAATTTAAGAAGATTGTGGTACTTTTTTTTCTAAATATTATATCTATTTTTCGTATGCAGTAAAATTTTTACGTAAAAAAAGTAATATAGATATAACCTTCATATTCCTCAAATATATTTAATATTTTGTGCTTTATAGAGCATAAATTAAATTACGTAACAATTTCGTAAAATTTTCATAAATAATTAAATTCAATTTACTTATTACATTTGCACGTTGAGCCAAATTATTATATATACCTGATATTTTAAATTAATTAATAAATTTTTTAAATTAAAATGTTATTAGTGAAGATATGTTAAAACGTAATTTTTGGCATTTGAAAGTATCTCGCATTCATTGCATTGCCAAAGAAAAAGGGAAAACGTTTAAAGCGCATTATAGAAAAGAATGACATAACTGAAAAACTCACTTCAAATTAGAACATAATTTCCAAGAACGTTGATATGTACAAAATAAGCTTTCGCATTAAATATTAACACAAAGGATAATTACATTTAACAAAGGAATTTAATTACAAATTGCCGATTCGCCTGTTATTAACTAGAAATTTTAACAATGCAACTTGAAATTTTAACTACACAAATTAATTATCATAATTTACAAATGATGCAACATCGAAATATAAATTGAGGCTGTAATCAATGTCACAATTACTGATAGTACAACGAAACGGGTATATTTTGGTAGATATACTAAAATGCGATTAATGTGAACGATTCTAATTCCTACTTTTACCTGTTGTGTGCGGCAATTGTTCAATATTTTTAGAATACGTACGTTTTTCCTGACTTACAATTCGATCGAACATTGAATAATAATAATTGTTCTCTATAAGAGGGCTAAAAGCAGTTCCTTCGGAACTTAGGAACAGCTACCGCGACTACAATGACTACAATGGAAAGGGATTTCTAGAATGGTCCATTCACATGAGTGCGACAACTTGCTTCAACCTATGTCCACATTTGCATACGAGCACATTGCACTTATGCCTTGATTACTCTTGGAGATTTGAAGTAGCCACCGGGATCAAAGACAAAGTACCTGCTAGTGATATGTATCTTACATCTAAATGGTTGTACGGTTACTTATTAAAACATTACTTAAAAAGGGAGAACTTTTATATGTAAGAAAATTCCGTACAAATTAGAACGGGCGTGAAATTTATACCGCACTGTAGCCTTACATATTGCAATAAAAATGACGTACACTAACTTGGAAAAAAGCGCGGCACAATTATTCACGCATCGTGTGTGCGTAATGAAGAAATGAATGAAAACTCGAAGAAGCACAATATAACGAATCGGTGACTCTTAGTTCAATTCAGGTGTGTTGCTCTTAAAGGTTGACTTATGCTCAGTCGCGTGTGTTTCGGTCATTTAAGTACAGCGTTAGGCCGTTAGTGTCACAGCTTGATCTCGGCGGAGAACCAAAGCTCGCTTTCAGGTTTAAATGGTGGTTAAGTAAGCTGTACGGTCACCTCGCCGTGCCCTTCGTCGATACATGTACCATCTAATATACACATTCGCGCCGGCACAGGCGTGCTGCCATTAAACGTGCGCGCACACCCGAGTATGCAAACGTGACTAACACGTTTCCAGAGTCCAGCGCGCATAGCTTAACTTATGATACTCTAAGGCGTCGTTATAACCGGGCTCCCCTTACGCTTTCGCGCCACTTCTCGCGCCGCCTTCTCCATTCTGCCATTTCGCACGTCCACAACCACCGCCACCACCACCACCACCACCACCACCATCACCGCACTGCTATCATCCAGTTTTAATCCATAGATCTAGGACCGGAGAATGCGGAAGGAGCTGGCGAGCCGACGACGTCGGCGGAGTCTGCACGGCAAAAGCATAATGAGTAGTGCCCGGCGTGTCCCTGAGCGGAGCCGCGCACATTGCTGTATCCGAGATTTCGTTATTAATATTTAACTACGGCGGAAAGATTAAAAAGTTTTAGGAATTTTAATATAGCCGTCCCCCAGGGAGTCGTTTCCATGCTGAAATCTGCGCCAGGCGTTCACACGAACGCTGCTGCGTCGGCCACGTGTGCGTACGGCCGCGCCGCTGTATGCAGCCGTGCGAATACGTACACGCGATCCCGCGCGTGTGAGTTCGCACACGTATGCGACGACTACGTGGGACACGTAAGCGCCGTACACGTACGCGCCAACACATCGAAATTCGGCCGCACCGTTTCTCACGATGCAGCGTGCAGAATTTTAACGA